AAGAGTCCGGGCAGGAGGGCCTTTCCGGGTCCCCAGTCTCTGGTCTCCACACAGAGGCAGCCACCTGCTGGATTTGGAAGGTCAAGGCCACTCCCATCCAAGGCTGACCCTCACCCAGTTAGGGCCCCTGACTGGTCCCCAAAGTTCTCCGAGTGGGATCCTGATAGGGTCCAACCCCATTTTACAGACTAACAAACTGAGGCATGAAGAAATGAAAGATGTAGTCTTGGTGGGAGATGTTCAGTCTTTCTCAGGGCCCAGTACGCCTTCCCTTCGCTAGCTTCTGACACCCCCTCCCCCTCCCCCAGGACAAGTGGGCGCTGAACCACGAGGACCTGGTGTTGGGCGAGCAGATTGGGCGGGTGAGTTGAGTGCCCTGCGGCCTCCTGGATGCCTGCGTTGTCCCACTTCCTTCCAGCTCCCCCCACCCCCACCCCGAGCCACACCAGGGCCTCCCTGGCAGAGCGCCCGGGCCACAGAGACCCCCAGTTCCTGCAGCCAAACAGGCTTAAGCCTTCAGTGCGGGTTCTCCCCGGAGGAGGGGAGCCATGAGGTTATACCTTTCTTCCTCCTTTTTTCTTTTTTCTTTTCTTTTCTTTTCTTTTCTTTTCTTTTCTTTTCTTTTCTTTTCTTTTCTTTTCTTTTCTTTTCTTTTCTTTTCTTTTCTTTTCTTTTCTTTTCTTTTCTTTTCTTTTCTTTTCTTTTCTTTTCTTTTCTTTTCTTTTCTTTTCTTTTCTTTTCTTTTCTTTTCTTTTCTTTTCTTTTCTTTTCTTTTAATCGAGCCTGCAACCCGGGCCTGTGCCCTGACCAGGAATCGAACCGTGACCTCCTGGTTCAAAGGTTGATGCTCAACCACTGAGCCACACCGGCCGGGCAGGTTATGCCTTTCTGCAGTGTCTCTGCCTCTCGTCCTGGGCAGACCCTTTCTCCCTGCTGCTCCCCGCCCCCTCCCCCCAGGGCTAGGTCCCCTCAGCAGTGGAGGCTGCTGACCCCAGGACCCCCTGCCCCGCAGAACCTGTACCGACTGGAGGGCGATGGCTTTCCCAGCATTCCTTTGCTCATCGACCACCTGCTGCGCTCCCAGCAGCCCCTCACCAAGAAGAGCGGTGTTGTCCTGAGCAGGGCTGTGCTCAAGGTAAGCCTGCGC